TCATGTGCTTATAACACGAAGAATTATTAGTTCTAATTATACTCCTGTGAAATTGCAATTTAACCATGCATATGAAAACTTTACTGTTAAATGTACATGACGCTCTTGTACATTAATATCTCGGAGTATAGTTTCTAAATGTTCAAATATGACTGGAGTTGGAGAAGCAACCATTTATAGACTTTTGAAGCAACGAAAGGATGAAAGTATTACAGTAGGACATAAAACGTTAACTGGGAGAAAACCCATTTAAATAGACGGTACTATGAAACAACTGATTCGAAAAAAGTTCATTCGTTTTATTTACAAAAAAAGATACCTACTTTGGATAAACTTTTAGTATACATTAATGGAGACGAAACTTTACCAAACGTTAAAAGAGACAAATTGTGGAAAACTTTACATGCATTATTTATTAAATGACTTCCTTTGAGAGAAAAACGATGGAAAATCTGCGCTCATAGAGAAAGGTGAAATTATTTGTTGGAGGAGGCAATATTTAAGGGAAATTAGAAAATTAAGAAGAGAAGAGTAACATATTTTTTATTTGAATAAAACATGGATAAATGAAAGACATTTTTTAAAAAAAGTTTGACAAGATAAACATTTTAAAAATTCTCGTCAGGCATTTATAGAAGGTTTGTCTGCTGCTTAAAATTTCCAAATGGTAAAGGTCGCCGTTTAATTATCACTCATATTGGAGGAGATAAAGGATTTGTTGATAGATGCTTGTTAGAACTTAGAATTTGTTTCAAATTCTACGAAAGACTACCATGAAGAAATGACTGTTGACGTTTTTAAGGAATATTTCAATCAAATTATAGATTTATTACCAACCAATTCTGTAATAGTTATGGACAATGCCAGTTACCATTCAAGATTAAAGGATCCGTTACCTAACACTAAATGAAAAAAACAGGAATTCTCCCTTTGGCTAATAACCAAAGAAATAGTGGCAGAAGAAGGCTTACTCAAAAAAGAGTTATTGCAGTTATGTAAACAACACTGACCAAAATTTAAGAAGCGTAGTGTAGATGAAATAGCAAAAGAACACGGAGTTAAAGTGTTGCGGTTACCACCTTATCACTGTGAACTTAATCCCATTGAACTAATCTGGGCTCAAATGAAGGAATATGTTGCGAGAAACAATATAACATTTAAACTTCAAGATGTTCGTCAACTATTATGTAACTCCATTTCAAAAAGAGAAATTCTGGAAACTTGATATGTTAATAGGAGAAACAATAGAACCAATTATTATTTCTGAGGAAAGTGAGAAAACTGATAATGATGATGACTCCTTCTAGATAAAAACTGACTTAATTATTTAGGTATGTAACTCTATATTTATATTAATTATAAGTTTATATGACGCTAGTACCCGAAATACCAACAAATTTATATGGAATTACCCCGTATTTCTAAAAACGAAATATGAGTGTTTTATGAGAAAATATTTTTTTGCAAATATTTTTTTTTAGTATATCATATAAATTTCGTTGTGTATATGTATTATTAAATTTTAAGGAAATGTCTTAACCTAATATCTAGTATACTATTTTTATAAAAATAAATATGGGTTCTTAATATTGACAGTTTTCTATTTTTTATATTAAAATAATTTCGTGTTCCCCGTCACTGAGGTATAGAATTATTGGTTAATACCTTTGGATTTGCTCATTTATATTTTATGATGTATTGTATTCGAGATTTTTCGGGATGGTCATACTAAACACTAGTGTAAATTCAGATAAGAAGGTATCATTATTTAGTTTTTTTCTGCTTTGAACAATCCTTTGCCATAAAAACTATGCTATCATGCATTTTCAAATAATCTGTAACTTTGTTTTTTCTTATAAAAAAAATTATTAGTTAGTCATAGTAACTCGCAAAAAATTTGATACTCTTGTTAGACTAGATACGATAATATCCTATTGAATGCTTCATTCGAAGGAAAGACACTAGCTAGACAATTAGGAAATAAATCTTGCATTTTTAACGATTACATTCATTGAACGAATGTAAAAACACTATTTGCGATAATTGGACAGTTATTAATACAAGCTTATACAAATAAAGTTTAGATATGAACTGTCTAATTAAAAAAAAAATTGTTCAATGTGGCCACCTCCTTGATCACAACACATTAAACAACGATTCTGCAGAGAGTTTATTTCACTGATTAATTACTATTTCTGTTATCTCTGGTTTCTATCCAGACCAGTACACTCATAGCGTTTCGCACTCTTTCTTCTAAAACTGCGACATTTTCGGGAGCTTCAAGTAAAAAGAAGTAAAAGGCCACAAAATATCGCCATTATTCGCAATTCGTCTATTGGGAAAGTTTATGGCTAAATATTTCAAACATTTTTAAGATATCTTTCTCGACCTGTTTTTTAAGTTTGTCCAGTCTATATCTTCGTAAAGTATTACAGTATCATCTGCGAAACTCATTAGTTTTCTAGATAAAAAAAGGTGTGAGAATATTATTTATGTAGAATGTAAATAAAATGGAACTTAAAGCTGTTCCTTGTGGCAAACCGAATCTGAATATTTCTTCACTGCTGTATTTGCTATTAATTCGTCCGTTAAATAATTAGTAAATAATTGTTGCGGTAATCCTCATATTCTTGTATTTTCCAAGATCAGAGGATGATCAACAGTGTCGAAGGCCTTCACAAGATCCAGGAAGGCGCATATCACCGGTTTACTGGTTTCCGGACACTGTGTAATTGGTCCCATTAATTTTGAAACTGCATCGGTTGTTGACAAACCCTCTCTAAAACCAAATTGTTTTTCAGAAATTACGTTGTGTTTGTTTAAAATGGCAACTAAACTATTTTTTGTGCTTTTTCGAAAATTCTAGCTAATGGTGTAATAACAGAAATAATTGGTCTGTAGTTAGTTATTTTCGATTCATCTCTTTTTTTTATGGATAAGCGTAAAATTTTATTTATTAAGTGGCATAAGAGTTTTGCTAAAATAGCTGACATTTGCTTAAACATCTGTTTTAATACCATCTAATCCAACTGATTTTTTAATTTTTTAAAGAAATATTTATAAATAATATTCTTCCTTTTAAGTCTGATGATGGTTCTTTTTGTTATTGTTACTAGTACTAGTTCCGATTCAGTTATTGCTTGTAAAAAGAAAGAATTTTCATTTACATTGTTCACAGGTGGGGGTGTTGCAGGTTTTACAATATCTTCTGCATATGATTCACTAACATTTTACGTATATCGTTACATATGCTTCTTTAACTATTTTTTTAATTTTTAATTTATTTTTTGAGAAATTTTTAATAACTTTCCACAAATTTTTTGGAGTATATTTATTGTTATTGTTTTGAACAATATTTGTATTTTGCTAATTTTATTAATTTGTCTAGATTTTTTTATTTTTTTTGCTGATAGTTTTTTCGGATTGTAAGGGTCTTTTCGTATTCAATTCTTGACGAACGGATTGTAGAAGAAAGTATGTTATAGCACCGACATATGTAAGGGGGGGGGGTTATGGGGACCAAGCCCTTTTAAAATCAGTGAGGTCATTTGATGTTCTATATTTTCTCGACATATGTTTTTTGTGATGAATTAAGGACATTATCAACGTTGATCCAGGGCGTGAGAGGATTTTTCGAAAACATTTTATACATGTCTGACTAACAATCGTACTAAATACTAAATATATATCTCACATAACATTTATTTTAACAATTTTCTAAACATTTTAATTTTATACTTTTTGTTAAATTTCTCGACTACGGATCATTTTAGGAAAATTTTGAAATTATAGAGAACAATATTGCAAGCAACTTTTATTTAAAGAATTTTCTTCTCCAAGCGTAAAGTAGAAAAACGACCCCCTAATAAAGTACCCCCAGGTGTTCCGCCTGTACCCAAAATTTAATCAATTTACCGCAGAATGTATTTAAGCTTAAATTTAAAATTTGGTTTTTTATCTTTATCCATTTCTGAGTTATATCTTTAAAATTCGAATATGATCCATTTTAGAGAATTTATGTTTAGGCCAAGAATTATAGAGAATGGCATTACAAACAACTTTTATTTGAACAATTTAAATTTAAAATTTAAATTTTACACTTGACACATTCTCGAATACGGACTATTTTAGGAAAATTAAGTATGGGACAAAAATTATAGAGAATAATGCAAACAATTTTTAATAAAACAATTTTCTTCTCCAAGCGTAAATATCAGATATATCCCATAAAGTAGAAAAATGACCCCCCTCAAATCTGAAATTCTCAGATTGCCTCCTTAAATCCCATTGAACTGGTAGGTTATATTTCTCAAAACAATACATCATTTAAATTACCTGATGTGTGAAATTTGTTTTTGAACGCAGTTTTACATGTAAAATGGAGAGCTTTGGAGAAAATGCATTGATCATGTTAAAAAGGTGGAAAATTAATTTTGGAAAGTGGATATAGAAATGGAAAACTTAATAGCTCCTGTAATAATAAAACACAGAAAAGACAATGATAATGATACCAGTAGTTATATTGAAGACAGTGACTTTTAAGATAGTTATTGGACTTTGGAATGTGACCTTATATCCTCACTTTTACCGCACTCCTATTTTATTCAGACTATAATCTATGAAAGGTTAATTCAGTCGATTTTGTACTCAAATGATCATTGTTAGAGCAGGAACGTATTATACACCTAGGCATGCATTACGCACTTTAAAAAGATTTTAACACTCAAAAATCGTTCAAACAAAAATTAAATTTTATCACATAAATTACACTAGAAAGATAACTTATAAAATTAACAAATTGCACTCACAATATTGGCGGACTGATCCCACTTTGTGCTTGCACATGCCGTGTTCCGAGGATGCCATATCTATGTTAACAGCTTACAGTTTTTATGCTTCATAATATAATTTATATAAGTACTACATATATTCAAAGGACGGTAAAATATGTCGGGCGCGATAACCCTTTCTATTATTCTAAAATAAAAAAAACAACAGAATTTATGTAAAAACTTTATTAAAAAGTTTTCAATACATAACCTTAAACTAAGATTCGACTGTTGCAAGATGAAAACCTATATAAAAAAACCTGTATATTTTTCGCTCGAGAACCTAAAAAAACTTAAAAAATATTGCTCTTCAAAAAAACAAAAAAAATATAGTAAAACAAAAAATATCATAATAAAAACAACACGGTTTCTATAACAAAACACGATCCATGTTACCGTTTACAATTGAGCACATAAATAAAATAGAATCTTTACGAGGTTGTAATCGCCCAGTTATTCGTTTTTTTTTAAATTAAGTGCAATCCTGAATAAGAGGGCAAGCAAACCTCATTCAGTCATTGTGAACATTTCCACGGATATATTACAGTTTCAAGAACTAGAAGCACTCGGTTCCGGTAATTTCTCTTCTGACTTGATTTCGTCTAATTTAATTTCGGACTTGGGTTCCGCGAGCTTGAAGGGATCCACAGGTTTCAGTTCCGCAGGCTTCAATTCCGCAGGTTTCAACTCCGCGGCCAGCGCTTCAACAGGCTTGGGTTCCTCAGGTTTGAGTTCCAAAGCGATTTTTGGTAAACTTTCTGGTTTTTTGGGTTCCTCTAAGATGGGTTTTGCTACTTCCGGTTTGATTTCCTCGACCGGCAAGGCTACGGCTGGTGCCGGTTCTAAGGCTTTCGCTTTTTCTTCCTCTGGTAGTTTCTCTACCGGTTTAACTCCAGCTTCTATGATTTGAACGTTGGATACGGCAGGTACCACCACTGTTGGTTCGATTTTCTCTGGTAAATCTGCTTTACGTAGTTCTGGAAGCTTTTCTTCGGCTACAGGACTGACTTCGACTTTCTGCTCGCTGGGAAGAGCTATTTCTTCTTTGAGTTCGGTTGGAATCAATTTGGCGGCGTCTTCTTTGGGTTTTTCTTCGAGAGTGACTGTCGGAAGAGCCAGTGGTTTTTCAACGGGTTCAGCTGGGATAGATTTGGCGGCGATTTGCGGTACTACGGGTTCTGGCAATTTGGGTTGTTCGGGTACTATTGGTTCTGCGATTTTAGTTGCGGGTAATGGTTCGATTGGTTTGATTTCTGACTTTAAAGGAGCTTTGATGGGTTCTGCTAGTTTCTTCTGCGTCTTAACATCGAGTTTTTCATTGGAATCCTTTTCTTCGGAGGATAGTTCAGAGGGTTTTTGTTCGGATACTTTTTCTTTTGATTCTCCGCTTTCGTCAGACTGTTCTGATGAATCGTGAACGGGTTCTTGTTTTTGGGGCTTCTGTTCTGGAAGGAAGGCGGGTTGGTCTGGGATCAGACCAAATTGAGTTTCGGCTACTGGTATTTGTTCTGCTGGGGCGATCTGCGGTATCTTCTCTTCATTCTCTGCTAGGGGGTATGCTAGCGCTGTGGCGAAGAGTAATAGACCTACTATTAGTTTCATTCTGTAACAAAGAGAAAAATGTCAATTAGAAATAAATTAACTGCTTGATTACAAAATATGCTTAAATACTAAACAAACAAAAATGGAGTTAACCAAAGTTTACAGTCTTCTTCTTCGTATGCAATAGTTGCAAACTGGGTTTCTATTTTTCCCAATTAGAATCGCCAATTTTGCTATTTCCAGCTTTATTTTGGAGTAACTCCAATAAAAAGTGGGAAATATGATTTAGAGAAACCACGAAAAACTAAATCACGACTCTGTACGAGTTGGTAAAGCGGGGTTTTTTTAGGTATGTGGGTTCTATTTAATGGATATGGGTGGGAGTTGAAGTTGAAGATTTGGTTTGGATAGCGGACATCTTTTTATTTGTTTGAGGTTTTGTTTGGAACAGTTTATTTATAGAATATTTGTAATGTTAACGTATTTTAAGATGTTAGTTTGTTTATAAATTAGTGTTTTATATAAATAATTACATGTAAAAGCTACAGAGAGTTGGCATTGGAGCAAACGGAAAAAGAAAAGTGTCTATGGTGCCATTTATACGAACCGACCGCGTTGGAACGTTGGCCAGGCCGGATAGACTGGTATCGCTGGTATTGTTCCTTTTTTGCTTGCCCTAGTGCTGGCTCTCTGTAGTTTTCACACGCACTTGTGCCAAAGGATATTGGAAGATGTTCGATGGCCAATACTCTTAGGAAAAAAGTGTACGAGCCATACAGTGTAGGCACACCCATCTCTGTTAATTCCAGACGTAAGAAGGCGGAGAACATAGTAACAGAATCGGCGAATTAGATACTTTTTATATAATTTTATTTCTGTAAAATGGACATGCACAAGTTTCGTTGTGCAGTACACTTGTTGACAAAATGCGCATATACTATAAATTCCCGTGAATTGAACTTTTTTTGTGAGCTTGTAAGAGAGGTGCATAATAAAATATCCACTCTAAAGAGAATATAAGACTACAAGAGATTTTGATATTTTTCTCTTTTTTATTTATTTATGGGAAGCAGTTAAAAAAAGTTAAAACCCCTTTAATACCAAGTTTCAAACAAGCAATAACTATTTTACAGTTGCCTTTGGGAAACATAAAAAACCATCACGTCCCATCGAAAAATTAAAGTTAAAGGGCAGTTAATTACTAATGTCAAAAGTGCCATAACGATTTTACTGTTACAAATTACTTTGCCATCACATTTGTTAAAGGGTCAATGACTTGTCACAACTTCAATGTATGTAGAAAAATGAGAAAATCAAAGTATGTGAGAAAAATAATATTAGGCATTCCAAACAAATGAATTACCAGTGGGCAGGTTTGGTATATCTAAGGGTGGCGACACATGGTGTATTCTATCTACTTTACGTAAAATCCTATACATTTCTTCATAAATTGGCAGGCTTGGCGAGTACTACTTCGAATAAAATTAACGACCAAGTTGCAAGACTATGTCGCTACCCCCTTAAATACACAAGAATTTCCCACTGGCACCTATTGTTTGACAGGTCGTTGAAATGCCTAATTAAGCACGATGACATGTGTCAAATTTTTATTTAAACTAAGTAGGTCTATTCCCTTGCAACGCAAGTGTAGCACTAAGTTACACAACTTCTGAAAATATCGTTCCACCCATACAATTTGTATAAATGGAACGATATTTTCGGAAGTGGCGTAGCTCAGTGCTACACTTTCGATGCAAAGGAAAAGATCTAGTGTGATGCAGATATTTATAGAAAGACTTCAATCGATTTACGTACGTGGTAAAAGGCATCTAGGAATTTGACATTTTCCGTGACATTTGCAAGCCTTTCTGTGACCTCGCCTTTAAATTAAAATCCGAGCTAAATTGCTTGTTATACAAAAAAGAATCTCGACTTGATTCGCGAATTACAACACCGAATGCAACGCACGACTTATTCTCTCTCGCATTTAATCGCGTTTTTCTTCTTTTTTCTTGTTTTTTTCTTTTCGGTTTCTCTTACTCAACCAGCAACCAGTCCTTCGTTACCTTGAACTTGGCGATGATACAACCAGTGCCATTACGTCCCATACTTGGGTCGCTACTTTTACTTTCATCGAGATAATGTGTGTTCGTGAGGAATTCGTTTAGCTTTATACAGAATGTTGATTTAATGTCCGTATTTTTTTTAATATTTCTATCGTTAGAAAAATCACAGAAATGCTGGTAGTTTTTTGTTATGGTTTTAGGTGTTAATGCTTCTTGTTCTAGTTTCTGTTTTCTTTATCTCCTTTTCCCTCTTATCACTAGACATAGACAGTTTTGGTGAGAATAAATGCCATTTTTTTTTAAATAAAAACATTTTCATTCCATCTATCTTCAAATATTAAATTATTGACTTCATATAAATCAACTTACAACTCTAGTTGCCACTTTGATTACTCTTTTCCGTCACTTTTAGTGCGTCCATCTATTATTCGCGATTCAAATTAACTTTTGTCACCTATAAGTAGGATGTTTGTTTATTTACATGTGTTTGTTTTGGGCGGATTTTGTATTTGTGATTTTTTTAACTGGTTTTAGATAATATTCTCATTTTAATAGTGTTTTTGAGTTTCATTTAGTGTTAATTTAAGTTTAAGTCTCGTGCTTTCGTCATAAATATAATATTTATTATGTGTATGACTTAATTTGTTGGAAATATTAATTGGTTGCTACAAGAACATCTAGAAATATGTATTTACTAAACCCTGGACATGTTTTATTATGTGGTTTAAAGGACATTTCAGGTACTAAACGTTTATTATTGATGAACTTATTTAAAAATCTTACTAGACTTATTCTTATATTATGAAGTGAATTATGTAGTACTTTGTATACATGTAAATTGTAATAAAACCGTCACAAATCATATTACAGTTTGATTTGATTCTAAACAAAGTTTTGCAAAATTTCAATATTGTGAATTTGTAGATATCCATTTATCGTAAAAAATAGTTTTGATTTTGACATTAACACCATATAGATTGCAATTTGTTGGGGGCTTTTTCGCAGATTTCAATTTTAATATAAACATATACTATAATAAATAAACAAATTTAAAGCTAAAAAGTAAGAAAAAACTCAAATTGTAATTGATACAAATTAAAATGTAAACAATGAACACGAACGCCAATGTTGCCAAATGATGAACTGATTTTAAAACCAAATTAATAAATGAACTGAAATTTAAAAAATCAATATAATAAATCGGTTTTATAAAAAAATTATTAAATAAATATAGAGTATGATTACATATTACTATACACAAATTTTAATTCTTCAATAAAAGGTCTTATCCACTTCTTCAAGAGCTAAAATCCGACGACGTAGCGAATTTTTGCTACTTATGGCAACACTGAACGATATCCTACTTATAGGGACCTTATACAAATTTCCTCCAGAGGGCGCATCACTTAGCTTGAATCGCGAATATCGCGAAATAGTGTTTATGGCGTATCTACTTCATTCTATTTTGATGACATAAACACTTACGCAAGGGTGATAGTCTAAAGGGAAGGATAGGCAACTTAAATAGATCTGTCATACTGTCAATGACTCCATGACCGTAAAAATGTAGATTGACTATTGATATGACTATTTTAAATTACTTATTATAATTTAGGTAAATAAAATGAGAATAGAGAAATTTAATGCAAAAGATACAGAAGAAAACGATTAAATAAAACAACTATTTAAACATATAACTAAATATAAAATTCAAACAAATTAGAAAACAATAACATACAAATATTGTTTTATGTAAAGCAAAAGTAGAAAAATACCATGGAAAACAAAACAACAATTGACAATCAAAGCCTCAAAAACAAAGCGATGTTTTTACAATTGACAGTGACAGAAGTATTTCGTAATGTCATAAAATAAGTATAAGATTCCTTCTTATGGAAGTGGTTCATCCTTCTTTTTAGTATAGTATCCTGTGAATCGTCTAGGAACTACTTCTGCGGTAGAATGGACTTTGATAGTGTGACGTAATTTTTTATAAAGAAAGAAAATTAACCTGTCTGCTTGAATACGGCACCGATCTTCATATTAAACTGGATGGCTATATGTCATAGCCCCACTCTTAATTTCTAAGCCGATATGGGTGAAAAAAACGGTTGGTGCGCATGACAATTTAGACGCCAGACTGTCAATTCCAAGCCTTCCACGGCACGTTCTAAACTGGCGTACTATGATAAGTTTTTTATTAATATCGTGATATTTTAATTATTATTGTTATTGCAACATTTGCCTTATCCGCGTATTAATCAAAGACCATTTTTAAGTGTCTCCATTTAATCATTTTACATAGAACTGTGCAAACGCAAATTGCTAGGACTCATCAGGCATTATATTTTAAAATATTCGAAGGGTATTCTACAAAAATTTTATGTTTGTAAAAACAGTGAAAATTTTGGTTCAATTTTCTTTTTCTTTACATAGACCTATCTGAAAGATTTATTAGTAAGATGTCATAAGTTGCATACATAATTTGATAGATTTTGTTAATTTTATGTAGGTATGTGCCTAAAATGAGTTCATAAGAAATAAAAAAAAAATAAAAAAATTAGAAATTTTAGGAATGTATGTCCAACTGTTTTATTTAAAAAGCTCTATAATTTTTTGAGGGTGACACCTCCTCCATCTCCCTCTAGGGTACGATGGTGGTAAGAGGACGTAGTAAATCAGGTTTATTGTAAATGTGCCAAAAATTGGATTTGTTTTACAGTGAATGTGAACATTATTGTGATAAAATTAAAACATTTAATGAAAAAAGAAATAAAAATAAAAAAAAAAAAACAAAAAATATTGTATGTACCGAAAGTCGTAAACGTAATCACTTGCTTCAGTAGCAGACACTTTATCCAATACACCACATTCGCTAGATGCTTGTATTTGCAAGCGGTGTTTATATTATTCATTCGGATGGTTAAGAATAAAATATCTGCGCTCTAACATTCGTAAGTTTATAAACATTTTTTGTAGAAAAGATGCAGATGAA